CTCAGCGCGACTCACCTAGATGCTCCGAATTCGGAGAGTGTGCCTGGAGTCGGGGTGGACAAAATGCAGATGAAGCCAAATAGTCCAGTGCTGTCACCTCGTCTGCTAGTGTTCTCACGAATTGGAGTGTGGGACCACGGATAGTAAGTGCAGCGATGAGCACCAAACCGCGAATTCGGAGAGTTCAGCAACTCTCCGGCAACTCTCCGAAGTTGCGGAGCTGCGCCCCGCTCGAGCACCGTTGGAGCGGACACGGCGCGACGTAGGAGCTAATGGAGGATCAGGCGACGTGGTGGGCAGATGGGGCCAGTGGGCGTAAGACTTGACAGCGGGAGGGTAGAGACGATGTGGCGTGACTTGGTGTGGCCTGCCTTTTGAAAGCACAGGGGTGCCATCTCCGGCTTCACGCTTTACCTAGTGATGTTGCAGGCCAGCACGCTGGATGGAGGGAAGACTGTCCGTGCATGGGGGCGAGTCTTCATGAGATTCTCGGCATATTGGTTGCCTTTGCTTCTCTGCCTGCGTGGTTTTGTGGAGGAGGGTCGGTTGATGCAGGCGGACAGGGAGGAGCGCGTCCTCACGTGGAGTGGGAGGAGGATTGGAGGCGACATCGAGTCCGTTTTTTTGAAGAAGGGCGAAGCGGTATCGGCGGCAGCTGTGTTTACCCTATCAAACGGGAAACGAACGTGTATATGAATGGGACATTGAACTGGCCTTGGGCGCAATTCCCTTTCCACCCCAATTCCCCCACTCGCATACATGCCACGTCATGGTCGAGCCCGGTATTGCCATCATTGAAACAGATTACCCTCCCCACTCCCTTGTGATTCCGTTTCATTATTTAATGGTGGTCCCCTAACACACGATCGGCCCCCATTGGCCCTGAACCCCGTGCTCTGAGTGCCAGCAGCGCGTACCGAACCGCGGGATTTGTCCGACGAACCCGATCAGAGGCCAAGCCCACTATTACTCTGAAACAGGAAGTCGCACGGGGCGTGAGGTTTAGCGTCACAACCCGGCCCATTCAGCTCAATGATGATACATGTGATGTGCAACCTCACGCCCTGTGCGGAGTTCCGTACTCAGGACGCCGATCAGAGTAGTTCGGGGCGCGCCCAAGGATTTTTTACCGTGGGGGTTGAGTCACTCGGGCGAAACGAGGGATTGAATTTCTTGTTTCGGGTTGAGAGCTGCCTTGTCGGGGGTTTGAGCCGTCGTCGAGGGCAAGGGACGAGAGAAAAGTGCATTCCGGCATGACCATCGACGAAAAAGGGGAACAATCAAAAAGGGAAGGAAGGAGAGGGAAAAAAACGACGGGGAACGTGGTTTTCCGTTCCCCGGGGCAGCTGGTTCGTGTGGATTTTGGGGCGGTCAGTTCGGAGATCTCATCCCTCGGCGTCAGACTCATCAAGCCCGCGCGGACATCCTGGCGTGGGCTCGTCGAGGGCGGGGTAAATTGTAGGAACCCAAGTTCGAAAATTACCAGGGAGCGCACACACATGGCGGGAGAGTTCTGTGAATCAAGCCTCACCCTCGTATCCCAGGACTAATCTCTGCCAGGAACACGAATCCCCCTGAGGAAACCAGCAACAGTTAAATGGACGCCGCCACGTCGAGTGCAGTGCTGACCAGGGCAGCACCGTGAGATCGGTGTAGGGTAGTATCAGGGAGGGGAAGAGAACCGGTCAATCAACACAAGCCCACTTCCTCCAATTTCGCAAGCCCGGGCAGGGTTATGCAGCCGGATCTGCTCGGTCCGTCTAAGAGCGCTCCGCATGTCCACGTCGCAGTACACGCTGTTGTCGTCTGCAATCGGGAAGGACGGCAGCACGTTGCAGGAGACAACACAAAGATGGAGCACGGGCAAGGATCCCGATCCGCACACGAAGGGAAAGAGAGAGAGAGAGAGAGAGAGAGAGAGAGAGAGAGAGAGAGAGAGAGAGAGAGAGAGAGAGAGAGAGAGAGAGAGACAAGGTCGACGCAAGTCTCGCGCGCACGCGAGGCATTAAGAAAGTGAGAGGGATTGGGGAAGGGAGGAAGGACCAACAGTCTCATGCACTCATGCAGACGGTTGACACCCAGCAATCCCTATCATCGCGCCTGGAAG